AATAAATGTAAAACTGAGCTTGAATTGAGGCCGAAAGTTATTGCATTGGTTATTTTCAAAACTAGCTTTATGTATTTATGTTCCCGTATATAAAGTTCTAGTATCTATGTTTAAATTGCATTACATTATTAAAACAATTAATGATTATTGAAATATGGTAAAAAAATGTGTTTAAAACCTGCCGAGCGAAGCGAGGCAAAATATAAAAAACTTAAAGCTTAAGCAAAGCCAAGAACTTTGAAAAAGAACAAATAGAATACCACCTTAATATATATTTTTTGATTTCACAATTAATCATGTATTATCAAATTGTCAGTGTCTATTAATACCATATACTGTTATATCTAATTATTAGTTGGCGGCGAAGCCGCCACATGATCATGTACTAGTTTAAAATAAAATGATCAAATATTTAAAATTTATATATGTTTGCTATTTATAAGACTGTACTAAGTTAATCTTTTGTTTGCTTATTTTATAAAATCTAAAGTTTAAGTTGTAGGTTTTTTTCCAGTTGATTTATAAAACGTATAATTTTGAGAAATTAAGAGTGATATTAGGTAGATTGGTACTAAAAAAATTTAAACTGTAAAGCAAGTTAGCCGAAACTTGTAAAACAAAAAATCAACGTTGCATAAACTAATATTTATTTTAGAAATTTCAATTAACTATAGTATTTACATGCATATCATTTTGACCTGATCCGGTCCCGATCAACTCACCACAGCCATTTCACCAAATGTTCATTTAGCCGACATCACATAAAATTAGGGTTAAGCATTTGATTAGTTGCATGTATATATTTTTACTAAATTTCACTGCCATGATGTCGGTCAAATGAGCTGTCTGCGAAATTGTCGGTGAAATAATACGAACCCATTTTGATCATCTACAAATCATGCAGTGTTAGCCGAATTATGATAATTTTAGAATGATTTAAATTTTATTGTCAAATTATGAACCATTCACTGTTGAAATTGCTAAACAAAAAAATTTAGTGCCGTTATCTACTAACGTGCGTACGGCTTTGCTTGAATGTGTGCCAGGTTTTGGCGCAATAAAAATTCTCCAAAGTTTATTTATGTTAGGGTTAGTGTTTGGGTTAGGTGTAGGTAGAGATGTTTATATAGTAAAATTGTCTAGCGAAAACTTTTTGTTAAGGCACTAAAGGTGGTTTCCTATGCAGATATTCAATAAATGGACGATTTCTGACAAAACGGACGTTTCTTCATGATCGTGTTATGTTACACCTGATCTTGAAATCTGATTCGTTCAGGGGATAGATTAGTGAGAATAGATTAGTGGGTCCACCAAAATTCAGCAAATCAGCCCGAATTTGGGTCAGGGATGGATCTGAGCAAAGTGACATTAAGCAATAATACCGGCTGACTATATTATAGCAAAATTATCATTTGGGCAGCTTTACTTAGTAAAATTTTGGGTGATTTTAGAAAAAATTACTAATCCCGGTCTATTCCGACCCAAATTCAGGCCGATTTGCTGAATTTTGGTGGACCCTCTAATTTACTCGATTAGTGAAGCAACCAAAATTCAGCAGATCGACCAAAATTTAGAATCGGAATAGACCGGTGTTACCCTTAAAATTTTCAATCTTATCAGTTGATCGCATCATTTCTCCTGCCAATATCTTTTTTTTGACATTTTTGTTATTATTATCATTCTTATTATTTTATTATTATTCTATTTTCATTATAGCTATATTCCGATTATTGTTATTCCATAAGTAGTTAGTTATTTTATAATCGTATCACAATTAAGATCATTGTACACCGAGAAGATACTTACCGGTTTCAGCGTCATGATTGACAGATCCACACTTTTCCCTTTTTAGTATACGATGGACCAATTATCATTACTTCCTATTTTAGTAGGTGTATCTAGTGGGGTTTGTTGGACGAAGAGGGTGGAGGTATTGCTGTTGCTTGAGAATAGGATATACGAAAGAAGGAATTGTGCAATCTCCTCAATGACTTGGTATTGTTTGCGTATTGTTGTCATTGAGTTGGTTATAATAGGTAGTGAAAAGGGAAGTTGTCCCGTATGACAGTTTGATGCTGCGGGAATCTTCACATGTATTTAAACCCGTCGTTTTTGCCCTAATAAAGTTTTTCTCAGACTTCGATCTATTTAAAAAGCTAATAAATATAAGTTAGTAGGCATTTCAAAGCCAAAGGCAACTCTACTTATGCTTCTCTTTGGATTTATTGACATACGTACGTACGTGTGTGTAAGTACGTACGTACGTATATGCAGTTATCGAATTCTCACACTTATCTTATTGTTAAAAACCTGTTTATTACATTGTTTTGATTGTAACATTGTTAAATTGATTACCATATTATTGCATCACCCTTAAAATAAACATCGATCCTATTAATTATTATTGACCTCGTCGACCTTATTGTATCACTTAAAATACCTTTAATTATTTATTCTTATCTACATCCTGAATCTTGATTATATCCCCTATCCCGTCCCTTCTTAAATATAAGCGCCCATTTCTCACATCATCCACCTTCCAGTTTACTACACTAAGCTAAACCCGGCCCGTTATATTCATACGCTCTCCCAAATTCGTAGTAACAAGTAGTGCCGATTGTGTAAAAACTGATCTCTCGCACTTCAGATTCACCAATATATGACCAGTTTTGAACAGCACTTCAGAGACAACGTTCAACACGATCAGTATCATTACCAATTCGGAAAGAACCATCAGGCCATTAAATACCTCATAAAGCATTATCCTGATGACTCTTGTGTCGTTTGCCACCCGCCCCACGAACAAATCACCCCCTAGTTTCTTAATTTTTGGAATTGGTTCTCCCTCATTCAACCTGCTGTTACTTATTCTCACGCCTCTACCATTCGGTTTGAACTTCTCCACCATTTTCCCATTGAAGATCTCTCTGTTGACTGATTGAGACGATTTATCTTCAGCCTTAGATTCAGAGAAGAGCCGGACGAGTATTCTGTATTGTTAAACGAATTTTTAACCACCTATCAAGAAACCGATTGATTCATCAGAGACCCTTTCAAAAAGACATACTATAGTGAAACTTTAGGAGATGACCAATTGGAAGAAGATACTGAAGACATGGCCCAAAGAAACAACAATAACCCCCCTCCTAACCAAAACAACAACCCTCTTAACAACGCCAATAACCCAAACAATCAAGCTAATCCTATAGATAATCTCGCGCAACAGATCCGAGCTCTCGTTGCCCATATGCAGCAGGCTCCTGCGCCGCAGATTAATATGCCGGCCCCCCAAATCAACATTCCTCAAATAAACATACTCGCACAACAAAGGGAGCTTAACTTAGTTGCCTACCCTGAGTTCTCCGGTGGCGAACAAGATCCCATCACTTGGGTAGAGGACGTGGAAAAAGCCTTTGAGCCAATCTAGTTCAGGACAACTGAAAGATTCCTGTGGTAATTCCAAAACTGAAGGGTGCTGCCACCACTTGGTGGATCACTATTAGGAACCAACGACAGCAGCAACAATTACCTGCTATCGATCGTGGGATGACGCCCAGAACCAAGGGCGAAGTTTTCATCCCACCTTCATTGCTCACTTTCGGACCTCTGCCTTGGAAAGTAAATGGTTCGCCCAACTCACGTAGAGAAAACAGTACCCCGGCGAGGACGTCGATACATATCACGTTGTCGTGGAGGAGCTTTTGCGACGTGTAGAGGCAGGAGGATATCAGTATCCTAACACCACCAAAGCCCAAATATTTATTAGCGGGTTAAGACCCAACCTCTCTGCGTCCGTTGCTCTCTTCATAACTAGGACCCTCGCTGCCGCCTATGAAAGGGCAAAGGTTTTTGAAAATACCTTTAAACAAAACCTATCCAACCCCAACGTTCCTCTACTCTCTGCCTTTTACTCCCCCCAATACTTGTCCCTCCCAATGCCAGATCAAAATAAAATCAAGACTGAAGAGACTATTAATAAGCTAACCGAGGCTATTGACAAGATGATGGCCCAGTATAAGGAGGCCCGGAAGCCTCCTAAGAGGAATTGGAACAGTTGGAACAACAGAGGTTCTAGAGGTCCGTGTCTCTGTTGCGGACAGAATGGACACTTCGCTAGAGACTGCCCCAACCCCCTTCATAGAGATAACAATAGAAATGTCGCCACTGGAGCCAATGCTACTCCTTTTGGCCAGAATTCCAATCAACCAACCCCCAGCGAAATGACGCCCCTAATAACAATGATGTTCAGAATGCTATGCAAACCTCCTTAACCTTGTTGAGGCAAACTCTCAGAGGAATGAGTCACAAGCTTTCCTGAACCTTCACGACGAAGATACTTTGTACAACATCGGAGAAGAACGAGAACAACCCATTAGATCAACCCGACTTAAGCGACAGAGACCTACAGAAGGTTTGTCCCAAAAAATTTATCCTGACCTACAAGAAGTACTGAAAGCTCCTGCAGCTGGCGAGTTGGCGAAAAAGAAGGATACTAAGCCAACGGTCACCCATAGAAAGAAGGTTGAAGATGAACCTCCACAGATTTCCGCTCTTGTTTCCCTCTACTCCATCGTTGCCAACATCAGAGACAAACCTGCGAATATCACTATCGGTCAGTTAATGAAGGCTGTCTCCTCAATGCGTACTGAGTTGTCTAAAGGCCTCCAGAAAAAGAAGAAGGTCGCTAAAAGAAAATGTCGGGCATTTGCCAACCTCCACCCGACAGCGAAAGCCACAGCCCTGTACTGTGATGCATCTGTCAAAGGGAAAGTTATCCCCTTATTATTGATAGTGGGTCTTCGGGTAGTGTAGTCTCTACTCACTTTCTTCAGGACATTGGTATTAAGGTGGAGAGACCCTCTACCCTCAACATGATCAATATCCATGACAAAGCAGAAGGGCTATCTGCGTGATTTCCGATTTCCCCTTCACGGTAGGAGGAGTGAGAATTTCCATTGACGTCGTGGTCACTGATGCCCAGTCCTACCAAGCCATTGTAGGGAACGACTGGCTTTCAAAGGTCAGTGTCAAGATCGATTATACTCGATCCACATGACTTTCGTATAGGAAAGAAAGGAGATTGCCGTGCCGTAGAGTTTCGCAAATTACAGCACATACCACTTCAAGAAGAACGGTCTCCTTGAACAACTGAGCCACAAGAAAATGATGAAGATCCGGAGTCGGAAGATGAAGAAATGGAAAGCGAGTACGAAGAAGAGGAGTTAGAGGATCAGCTTTTCGGTTATTCTGAGGAAGATGATGTTTCGTTCCCCGTTGCCTCATTAGAGGAAGATTGGTGGGACATGGATGGTGAAGATTTTGGAAGCAGTGATGTTTGTTCGGAGGATAGGATAAACGAGATTTATGATTTTTATTTCGATGACGTTGAGGAAGTTGCACCAGAGATTGACATCAGGGAACTTGAAGAGAAAGACCGAGACCAGTTGCATGAGTTGCTCAGTAATAATGATGACCTCTTCGCTTGGACGACTCAGGATCTAGGCCGCACCAGCTTAGTTACTCATAGCATTTACACTGGTGATTCGGTCTCATCAAGCAAAGAGCATACCGCATGACCCCCAAGGAGAAAGAATTTCTTGAAGAGGAAATTAATAGAATGCTCAAAGAAAATATCATTCAGCCCTCTGTCAGCCCCTGGGCCTCCCCGATCATCCTGGTCAAATAGAAGGATAAGACCCATTTTTGCATTGATTATCGTAGCCTCAACTCTGTTACAAAAAAGGATAGTTATCTTTTACCTCGCATCAATGAACTCTTTGATATACTCAAACATTCTTCTTGGTACATCTCATTAGATCTCGCTAGTGGCTACTAGCAGATCAAAATAGAGCCGAAAGACAGGGAGAAGACTGCCTTTATTTCCCAATTCGGCACCTGCGAGTTCAACGTTATGCCGTTTGGCCTTACCAACGCTCCGGCCACGTTTCAAAGACTCATGGACGCTATTTTTCAAGGCGTAAATAGTAAATTTGTCGTCGTATATCTTGATGATATCAACGTTTTCTTCCCGACATTTAACGATCACCTCTGACATTTAAGAGAGGTTTTCTAGCATCTTAGGAAGGCAGGCCTACGACTTAGTCCCTGAAAATATCACTTCGCCAAAAAGGAGCTTAAATTTCTTGGCTACGTTATTGGGTCCGAGGGGATTTCTACCAATCCAAAGAAAGTAGAGACTGTCTAGAATTTCCTGGTGCCCAAGACCTATACACCAAGACCTGGTCAACTATGTAATAACTCTCGATAGTATGTTGATGATCATGACGGTCTTTCTATCTTTGTTGGGCCTTGGAAATTCGTCGTTGGGCATCAAGAACAGCCTCCTGGACGTTTCCTAATAACAATTCAATTTGTCTAAAGAGATTCTCTTGTAATTCAACTTCAGTGGAAGGTGGGAGTTTCGGAGTTATTTCGTCGACTTCTCCTGGCAAAACCGCTTTCTGACCATACATAAGAAAAAACGGCTCGTAATGAGTAGTTGAATGTTTAGTTGTCCGGTACGCGAAAAGTGCCAGGGAAACATATCTGTCCCATTCTCCAGAGAACTAGATAGAACATTTGGACAGGACTTCACAAAGCATCCTATTGAAACGCTCAACCAGACTGTTGGTCTGGAGATGATAAGGGGACGAGTAGTGGTGACGAACCGTCAACTGGCGACATATAGCCTCGATTAGTCGATTATCAAAATGTTTTCTCTGATCTGACAGAAGCTCTCGGGGACTACCATGACGACAAAGAATATCGTCGATGAAGAATAAGGCGACGGATACGGCGGTAGCATCAGGAATGACACGAGCTTCCAGCCATTTAGTAAGGTATTCAGTAGCCACAACAATATACCTATTGCCTCTTGTTGTTAACGGTAGGGGGCCGACGATATTGATCCCAACTCTGTCGAAGGCTGTCCTACTTTAATAGGGTAAAGGGGCTCGCAAGTACGGGGTCTTCCTCGACGTTGACAAGTGTCACAGGTCTTGACATAGGCTTTAACTGCCTCTCCCATTTGGGGCCAAAAATATCTAAGAGAAATACGCTGAAGGGTGAAGAAATAGTTAAAATGTCAGAAAGGGGGTCCGAATGCATGCTGAAAAGTACAGCGTCAGTTTGGTGGGGTAGTAACACTCATAAGAGTCGGTGAGGTTGTCTTCTATGTTTTTGTATAACAGATTATTAACTACAGTAAAATGTCTAGTTTGGTGTTTTAATTGTTTTTGATGTAGGGGTTCTAGTTCGTCTTGATAAGTTGGGTTGCTAATATAGGAACGAATTTTTGATAGAGTTCCGGTTCCATAGTATCGTTTGAAAGGGGTGATAAGAATTGGCAAAATAGGTAGAAGAATAAATAGTAGAGATATAAGAAGAGAAAAATAATAGTATCAAGAAAGAATAGTCAAAAATAGGAGAGATTTAAAAGTGATGTAGGTTCAGAAATACGAGAAAGACTATCAGCGTTCGAATGCTGCCTTCCGGGACGATGTACGACGGTAAAGGTGTACTCTTGTAAAGCTAAGATCCAACATGCAAGTCGACCCTGGGAGAGCTTGTGGTTTAGCAAGAACTTGAGAGTGGAATAGTCGGTAATCAAAGTAAAGCGGGATCCGTAGAGGCATTGGCGAAAGTAAGAAATAGACCAGACGATGGCTAAACACTCTTGTTTGGTGACGGAGTAGTTTTGCTCAGCGGCCGTCATAGTTCTGCTAGCATAACAGATGACCTTTTCCCTTCCTTGATCATCTCTTTGGGAGAGTATAGCTCCGAGAGCTATCCCAGAAGCATCAGTGAAGAGAAGGAATTCTCTCGCAAAGTCGGGGTATGCCAGAATAGGAGCGGAGACGAGTTTCTCTTTTAACGCCCTGAAGGCTTCGTGCTGCTTGTTAGTCCATATGTACTTGGAATCCTTCTTTAAGAGTAGATTCAAAGAAGCAGCTATCTTGGAAAAATTTAGAATGAACCTCCATAATAAGAGGCCAGGCCAAGAAACCCACGTAGCTGTCAAAGGGTCCTTGTTAGACGGAACCTGAAAGGGCAAGCTTGAGGAAAAATAAACTGGCCCTTTTTATATACACGATGTTTTTCGAAAAGCTTATAAACTTCGTACTCTCGATGATAGAGTTCTTAAGAAGAAAGTTCACGAGAATCGATTGCAGGCTTATCATCTGAGGGTTGAGTAAGCGTTTCTAGTCTCTCTCGCAGAAGCTCGAGTCTAAGAAGATAGTCTGTTACTCTTAAAATTTTCGATCTTATCAGTTGATCGCATCATTTCTCCTGCCAATATCTTTTTTTTGACATTTTTGTTATTATTATCATTCTTACTATTTTATTATTATTCTATTTTCGTTATAGCTATATTCCGATTATTGTTATTCCATAAGTAGTTAGTTATTTTATAATTGTATCATGATTAAGATCATTGTACACCGAGAAGATACTTACCGGTTTCAGCGTCGTGATTGACAGATCCATGCTTTTCCCTTTTTAGTATAAGATGGACCAATTATCGTTACTTCCTATTTTAGTAGGTGTATCTAGTGGGGTTTGTTGGACGAAGAGGGTGGAGGTATTGCTGTTGCTTAAGAATAGGATATACGAAAGAAGGAAATTGTGCAATCTCCTCAATTACTTGGTATTGTTCGCGTATTGTTGTTATTGAATTGGTTATCATAGGTAGTGAAAAGGGAAGTTGTCATGTATAACAGTTTGATGCTGCAGGAATCTTCACATGTATTTAAACCCGTCGTTTTTGCCCTAATAAAGTTTTTCTTAGACTTCGATCTATTTAAAAACTAATAAATATAAGTTAGTAGGCATTTCAAAGCCGAAGGCAACTTATATGCAGTTATCGAATTCTTACACTTATCTTATTGTTAAAAACCTGTTTATTACATTGTTTCGATTATAACATTGTTAAATTGATTACCGCGTTATTGCATCACCCTTAAAATAAACGTTGATCCTATTAATTATTATTGAACTCGTCGACCTTATCGCATCACTTAAAATACCTTTAATTATTTATTCTTATCTACATCCCGAATCTTGATTATATCCCCTATCCCGTCCCTTCTTAAATATAAGCGCCCATTTCTCACATCATCCACCTTCCAGTTTACTTCACTAAGCTAAACCCGGCCCGTTATATTCATACGCTCTTCCAAATTCATAGTAACACCGGAATTGATAAAATTTTACTAATAAAATGGCAGCCACATACTAAGTAAAGCTGTCCAGATGATAACTTTGCTATAGATTGTTGGCATGCATTATTTCTTAATGCCTGCCTAGCCCCGGGCCTATTCTGACCCTAAATTTTGGTCGATCTGCTGAATTTTTGTTGCTCTACTAATTCAGGACATCTGCGCCACAAACCTTGTACATATTCAAGGGTGTGTATGTACGTACGTAACTATGACAAATTTTTTACATCATAAAAATTACTCGGATCTAACCATTTAAGTGCTATTAAAAATTCAATTTATACTAGTGATGGGCAAATTCTGATTTTTTTAAAAATCTCACACAGGATGCGGAATCACGCGCGGGATCAGCGCGTGATCCACGGGATTGAGTAGAGTTTTTGAATTTCTCACAAATAATAAAAATATATATAAAGATCATTACTGTAAATATATTTCTTGTTAAAATCATAAGTATTTCTTATAAATCTTACTGCATTTATTATAAATAAAAAATGCTTATATAGATTTTGCCTACTTTTAAACATATATAAAAGTTTCTTATACAATTTAAGCTTAAAATTATTAAATTTATCAATTCAGAGTTGCCTTAATTTTATAGATAATGATAAGAATACCAACGGCAAAAAAAATTAAATTTATACTTAAATTAAGTATACACATATATACATATATGTACTATACAATATTAAAAATCTAAAGTTTAATTTTTCGTACAAAGATAATGTGTAGTGCATGTTATTCATATTACACAAAAATTTTACATCCAACAAAATTTAAATTTTATTTATATGCACTATTATAAATAATTAAAAATTATCTCTTTAAAAAAAGAGATTAAAACCGCTAACTTTCCTGTATCATATTTATAGTGTAAAAATTTCAAAACCTCAATCACTTTATATGGAATGAGGATTGACTAACATATTGGAGATGAGCTAAACTTAGTAGTGGTGCATATGTATAAGACTAGTAATACCAGTCTAAAAAATTTCGCACATCATGTGATCTTATAAAAATTTTTCACTAAAAAAAGGGTTCACAATTAATTTAGGGTTAGGGTCTTGCTAATAGATCGTAAGCCAGCTTATAGGGTTATAGTTATAGCAAAATTTCACAAGAAAACTTTTGTTAGTGCACAGTAAGCAGTTTCATAGACTAAATTTGAGTTATGAGCGATTTTTGACAAAACGAACGTTTGTTTTAACATTACACCTGATCTTGAAATTTGCTTGGCATGCGAAATTTTTTAGACGGGTATTTTAAGGGTTATTGTGCAATTACTAATTAGAAGTTGGCCCACTTATGTTAATGCAGGCCGGATAATATATTAATGTAGGCGGATAATATGTTAACGCAGGCCATATAATCTTATATTAAAAATCCTGCGCAGGATTGTTTAAATCCCACGCATCATGCGCATGATCCCGCGCGTTGCCCATCACTAATTTATACATATTCTGATTATTATTTCATTATATGTACTACCTTGGATTATGATATATTTCTGTCATATATTGACATTCTCGGGTTCATATGAATAAATTACATTTTCAGCTATTTGGATTCGGATACAACCAATTAAAAACGTTAAAGCATACGAACTCAGAATTAAATAGTATAGATAATATATATAGAATAAATAAAATAGAATATATAAACATAATTATAGTAATTCAGTGCTTAGTATTATTTTAAGTCTTTATATTATAAATTTTAAATATAACTAGATAGTTTTAACAAGATATATAGCTGAATAGCAGTTAAATCACCACTTTAATTAATTTTGCTAGTTAATCAGATTTCAAGATCTTGTATAACAAAAGAAATACAAAAAAACAAAACAACAAAAAAACTCATATCTCAAAATTTTGCTTATAAAAGTGACTTCTGTATACTAACAAAAAATTTCTTGTAAAATTTTACTATAACTATAACCCTCTAAACCAAACATTAATCTACTGATAAGACCCTAACTCTAAACTAATTATGAAACAGTTTTTTTTAATAAGATTACATAGCGATTACATAGTTAGCGAAATTTTTTAGAGTGGTGATGCTAGACTTTTAATATAGCTGCTAGCTGAAGATTGAAAAAAACTCTTTAGCAAGTTAAAGACCCAGAAGAAGATCAATAGCTACTAAAACAGGTCATATTTAGATAAAGGCTTAGTAAGCTATTTGTTTAGTTAGATTAAAATAGCTATAGATAAAAATTCATATAGATTATATAATTTTTGAATAGTTATAATCTTAGATATACAGAGGCAGAATTGCAAAATTACAAAAAAAAATAAAATTAAAAAATTTTAATTTTTTTATAAAAATATAAAATAAAAAAATAAATTAATAAATATTAATTTATATAAAACTTTTAAAATATATAGGCTGAATACTGCAAAAACAGGAGAAATCAACAACAAAAAATCTTTAAAAATTAATTCTTATATTATAAATTTGATAATAAATTATAAGAAATTGCAAATTTTGAAGAGCTATACTACAAAATTTTATTAATACAACTACTTTTGTGTCTTAAGTAAAAAATAATCCTGATCTTATTTTAAATTAATTTATACAAAAAATTAATTTAAAAAATTTGTCAATTTTTCTCCTTTTTGCAGCACCTAACTCATATATATTATATTTTTATAACTATATAAGCTTCTTTTTCAACAATTGTATTATTGAAAGAAAAATTTATATAGTTAGTAAAATATTTTTTAAAGATATTTTATAATCTATCAGACCAATTTTGATGATTTAATACAAAAAGAAGTTTTAAATAGTAGTATATTAAATTCAAAAAACTATAATTTTTATATATAAATTACATTATGTTATACTATGATCACTCACTAGCTAACTAGTGAATTACTAATTAAATTACAAAAATTATTATATTTAAAACTAAAATAAGCTATATTTCTAATTCTGTAAAGTAAATTGTTGTTGATAAAATTATAATAATATAATATTAAAAAGCAAAATAAATTAGAATAGTTTGTATTGAAATTAAACTTCTTTGCAATAGACTTTTTTATATATTTAATATTTAAACCAAAATATTATTTTAAAAGCAAATTAATAGTAAGATTGTTAAAACAAAAATAAAAAAGTTTAAAAATATTTATTCAGAAGTTGGTTTAAAAAGGAATCTATTACAAAATATTTATTTAACAATTTTTTTAATAATTACTTGAATTAACTATTTTTTGATCACAAGTTAAAGACTTAATATCAGAAGTTCTAATTACTTTAGGTAGCATTATTTATTATCTGATTATTTTTTATCTTCTTCTTTCTTTTAATATATAAAAAATCAGGTTTTTATATATAATTTTAACTTTTTTACTTTTTTCTTCTAAAAATTACCTAATTTTTATTATGTCTCTTATTGTTTTTGTATATAAATTATTATTATCAAAATTTTTAACTATAATAAGCTATGATATGAGTATTTTAAATAGTTTATATAGAGGTTAAATTTTGTTTTTTTTGCTTCTTGAGTAAACATCTTTTTGTATTTGGTATCTAAATCAAAAAAGTTTTTAGAAATAGCAAATATATAAAAATATAAATAAAAAAGACAAAAAAGCAAGATAAACAATCTAAAACTCTCTCTAGTTAATATCTTATAACAAGTATTTTCTTTTTTCTTAGCTTATACTTTGTATTAAATTTTTTTAAAAAATAAAATTTTGATTTTTTCTTATTAAAAGATTCATATTGTCTATATTTTATAATAGGAAGTTTAGTTACAATATAATTAACAAAAAATATAACAAACTTGATATTATTATCAGATAAATTTCAAATTAAGACCTGAAGTATATTTATAGATAATAAACTATAAGATAATAACTAGTTATATTAAAATTTTATAAAATATATATATAATTTTAAAGAGTATATTTATTTATCACTCTAATACAATATATTTTATATATTACTCTTATGATCAACTAATCAAATCTCAAAATTAAATATTATATTATATATTTAGAAAAATTTAAAACAAACATTTTACTAAAAATTATTTATAATTTAAAATTTTGCATTCTAGGTTTTAATAAAAAAATTTCTTGCAAAATTTTACTATAGAATCTGGTTTTGCTTCAACTCTAACCATATTTATCTCTAACCTTATTATATAAAAAAATATTGTTTTGATTTTATGTTATACTTGATTTTATAATCTTATTAATGTGACAATATCACCCATATGATGAATAAATTCTTTTAATTTTAAAAAAAGAAAAAATTTATACAGTGCACCTCACGTGATTTTTATTTTCTGTATGATGACGTCGATTTTCAGTGGCTTGTATATATACTTAATATGTAATATGTAATAATTAGTGTATTTATATACACATGTGATAGATAATTATGTGATTTTTACTTTTTACAAAAGCTGTAAAAAAAATCGAACTGTTTGTTGTTAGCTTTTAATATATCCAAATTTTTTTTATAGTGTTTGCATTTGCCTTTAAACTTTTACTTGTGTTTAAAAAAAAATATTTGTTGTTAACTTTTTTTATGCTTAAAGTTTCTTTGTAGCATTTGCACTTGCTTCTAAACCTTTATGTTCGCTTATAAGTAGATAATACTGATTTAAATACTACTATTATTTAGTAAAAATAAAGTTTTTATTACAAAAAATTTATTTTATTCAACTGACAGCATAATAATATGTTTGATCAAATTGAAATCGATAGCGACAATGAATCAGTAACTGATTTTTTAAGTGAAGATAAATTTGTAGAAAAATTAGATAAGGATAACTTTAACAGAAGTGAATTTACAGAAAGTTATTTAGGTAGGAATAACTTCATAAAGGATAATTATCTAAACGAACTAGCAGAAAACTATTTTAATAAGGATGAATTAGTTGAGAATTATTATGAGAATGAATCAGTTAAAGATTATTCTAATACAAATGAATTGACTAGTAATGATAATTGGCTAGAGAATGATAAAGATAAGACGGATAACCTTTATGTTGGTAAACGATTTGTATTATGGCAAGAAGTTATAATATTCCTTAATTATTATTGCAAGCAAAAAAGGTTTGGATATAGAAAGAGATGCTCAAAAAAAAGTGAAGAATTAGAGGATGCTAAAAAAAGAACTTTTTTATGCAAACATGCAGAGACATATAAACCAAATAAATTTGCAGGGCTTGATCAACAGCGAAATAAACCTTCATGCAAAGTTGGTTGTATGTGGTATATTAATATTGCCAAAAAAGGTAATAAAATTTGAGGTAACAACATTCATCGATGAATATAGCGAGCACAGTCCAGACCCGCAAAATGCATATTTTTTAACTCAATTTCGAAAGCTAAGTGAGGAAATGTTAGAAGATATTCATTTTTGAATACTTGAAGGCAGCCTTAATGCAACAAAACAATACCGGATGCTTTTAAGCAAATATCAATGTTATGTCATCAAGCAAGATCTATATAATACAATTCATATAATTCGGCATAAAAAAGAGCCTACAAAAAATGATGCATTCAATGTTTTTAATTTTTTGTTAGAAAAGAAGGCTGATAACCCAGAATGGGTTGTGGAGTATCAACTAGATCCAGTGTCTCAAGCTCTTTCACATCTATTATAGATAGAGTCACAACAAGTTGAGTTATATATCTGATACAGCTCAGTTGTTGCACATGATAATACTGCCAAGACCAATATATATGGTCTTCCACTTTTAATTTTTATAGTGGTTGACAATAACTTTAATACACAGCCTATTGCACAAGCATTCCTTGAGGATGAATCTCTTGAATCATATACGTGGAGTTTAAGGGTTATACAACAAACACTTGGGCTTTGTTCACCAGTAATTATTACTGATGCCGATCCTGCAATGGATGTGGCTATTGTTCAAACCTATGCTAAAATGAGATATTTGCACTGCATCTGGTACATAGGGACTTTCATTCATATATCCATTTTGCTAAAAGATCTTTTTCTATCTTTTTTCACATTTTTTTGTATGAGTTATTTTTAATGCTGATTTGATATATTAATTCTATCAACCAATTTTCTGGAGTTGCAAATATAATTTTTGGTTTTGATTCCTCTTGAATCCTGTTTAATGCTTTAGCTTCTGTAAGACCTGGAATGTCTTGTCTTTTGTTTTTATTTTGCTTTTTTTTTCTAATTTTTCTTCTTTTTTTTTCTGGCGTGCTAGAGCAAGTTTGACAGATACTCTAAAATATATTAATAGAATTCTTATATCTGAATCATTCTTCTGCCTTTGTCGAATTTTCCTTTGTTCTTGGAGTCTCTTGCTCTAACCTATATCCAACTTCACTTTTATTTTAATAGCTTGTTTTTTTTCTTGTTAAACTTGCATCTTTTTCTTTTCTTTTATTTCTCTTCTTGTTTCTTGTTGGTTTGTTGCTATAGTCTTGATAAATTCTTTGAATTGATATATTGTAAAATTCAGGATTGTTTTGTTGAGCTGTTTTTGTCAGCTTTTTTTTTGTTCTTGGAGTTTCTTGCTCTAATCTGCTTCTAATTTCACCTTTAATTCAGCATGCTGTTTTTTCCTTTTTATTAATAATCTTCTGACTCTATTGGCTATTCTTGATTCTACTATTTAACCAACTATTTCTTTTATTATAATACAATGGACAAGAGTATTTTCTATCTTAAATTGTTTTGAGAAAAATCTCATGTTTTCTTTCTATTAGTACAAGTTCTGTATATTTTGATTTTCTTATATTATAGTACCATAATTCTTCATAAAGCTATTCTTTTATCGGTTATTTCCTTCAGAATGAGCCTTTGCCCAACATATTCTGCTATTATTTTTTCTATTTCTGTGTTTATTAATTTGTTAGATATTGCTATTTTAAGCTCTGGATATCTGCTATTACCTCTTTCATAGCTTCTGATATATCAGAGTTAATATATTCTTGTTGATATATCTCTATATCTTTATATATTTCTTTTGTTTTTATCTTTATTAATTATGCTATGACAGGTTTTTTCAGAACTTTCTGTTATTGTTTTGCTTCATATGACTTGTTGTTTTCTAATTACTGTTGTTTGTTGTTGTTGTTTGCTATGGTTGTTTGCCATTTTTGTTTACTTTCATTACATGGTTTTTGTCATGTTTACTTTGTTTATTTTCTATTACATGTTGCGATTCTTGTATCACCAAAACAGATCTGTAATTTAGGGTCAAGGCTGATTTTTCAAAGTTTGTAAAGTCAAAAAAATATCAACGATTTTTTATGACTTCTTCTATTTCTTTGCTGCTTCTGTTTTTTTACTCAAATCTCTTAAGAGACTAAATATTTCTTGTTGTCCTCTTCCTTTTTACTTAGAAGCCTAAGATTAGTTTCTTAGTGACTCTTGTTTATTTTTAAGTTTTTTTGTTAATTTTTATTTTTAGAAATTTTGTGTTTTGATGATCAGCAGAAAGAGTTGTATATGTTTTTTTGAAAAGATTAGTGTATAGTTTTTTGCACCAGAAGATATTGATATTCACCCTAATTTTATTATAAAAAATAGTTTTTTTGCTAAAATTTAGGGTTAGAGTACAGTTTAATACCAAAATAGAGTCAAATTAATAGTCCAAATTTAAATTACACAAGGTTTTAGAGAGTTTTGAATATTTTTACTTAGTACACCTGACTCTGTTTCTTAGTCACATTTTTGAGATATAATAGTTTTTATTAAAATTTAGGTTAGAGTACAGTTTTACGCTAAAATAGGTAGATATAGTAGACCAAATTTAAATTATACAAGATTTTTGGAGGTTCTGAATATTTTTACTTAGAACACCTAACTCTGTTTCTTATTTAGATTTTTGAGTTATATAGTACTCCAGATATCAATATCCCCTGGTAGAAATTATAAATTTCTATTAATATATTAAAAAATATACTTAATTTTGATTAATTTTAACATTTTAATCTAATAAAATTAAAGTTCAGCTTAGGATTAGTATTAGAGTTTAGATTTAGGGTTAGAGTTAGATTTAGTATAAGTTTAGAATATATTTAAAGTAGGTTTAGGATAGGTTTAGAGTAAATAAAATTAAAGTTTAATTTAGGATTAGGGTTAGAGTTAAAATATAGGTTTAAAATTAGATTTAATATAAGTTTAGAGTAGATTTAGAATAGATTTAGAGTAGATTTATATAATATATAAAATTAAAGTCCAGTTTAAGATTAGGTTAGAGTTTAGATTTAGGTTTAAGGTTAAATTTAGTATAGGATTAAAATAGATTTAAAGTAGATTTAGAATATATTTAATTATATTATAATTTAAAAATAAATTATATATAAAATATTTATCAATAGTATATATCTTAAGCATTTATAATTAATTTTTATATTAATAAATGCTTTTAATAAATATAAATTATATTTCAAATACTACAAATTAAACAAAAAATTGATACAACTCTTTTTGACAATCTTTTGGTCAACAATACTAAAACCAGACTATAGCAAAAATATATAAAAAAGTAACTAAATAGATGCTACTCTTGGTTCTACATTAAGTAGGCTGTTGTTGACAAAGTCTAAGTTAAATGTGATATACTGAGAAGCAGGTATTTTTTGATAATTTTTCTTGAGGTCAAGTTTTTTTCTTCTGGCAGACTTTTCAAGATATTTGGTATCTAAACTAAAAGGTTTATTCTGAGAACAAGAAATAGCTAGGCTCTCATCAGTTTAATAGAAGCTTAGAAACTGGACTATATAACTATAAAACTTACAAGACGAACCTCATATATATCTGTTAGCCTACTACTTTTTTGCAAGAAAATGTTTGTAAAAAGTGGGCATCTTAGTTTACTTCTCCAAAAGATTATATCACATGTACCAAATTAGTTAGTATTGTTTATTTTCCAAATCAGATGAATCAATCAGTGATAACAAATATGTGAATATATGTATCTTGAATACCCAACAATCTGAACAAATAATACTCTGAGACATCTTTTTAACCTCTCTACAATTTGGATATTATCTTTTAGGAATGAAGATTTTATATAACGAATTCAAGAAAGTAGCTTCCAATGATGACTGGTTGACCATGAAGAAGCCTTCTGTTTAATTTCATATAGTAGAAAAGAAGTATTCTGGATTCAAATCGATAAAGTTTTTTCTTATAAGATTTTACTTAGGTATACTAATTAGTTAGACTCAGAGTAGAGACTAGTTTATCGTAGTATATAATTTTTACAAGTCTAATACAGGCTTATAATTGTGGTAATAGAATACAAATTTTGTTTGTTTTTTCTCACTACTTCTATATCCTTTTTTTTCTTTCTTTATATTTGTTTTTTATCATATTTCTCTATATCTCAGAATTTTCTTTTTGTTTTAATGTTTGTTTTCTTTTTGTTATTTTGCTTTTTAATAAGCGAGCAGCTGCTAGCCATTGACTGATAAAAAAAAAGTCCATTGTAATCTGGGTCCCAAAAGGAGGCTAAGTACTACTGAGGCAGATTGCATTAGTATATATATATTGGCATAGTTTTAACAAGCCTTTATTTTGGTTAAACTACTATAGTCATAAATATAAATTTATAAAAATTCACTAAATGATTAAATCTCAATTAAATAAGGGTGTAATAGCTGAATTACAAAAAAAATACTACAAATTAAAACTTTAAGACTATTATTTTAATATAAATTTAAAATTATAAAATTAAAACTAAACCCAAAATATTATCTAGAAAATTTATAATTAAATTTTATAAAATATAAAAATTTAACTATTCTACTAAAATATTGCTTAAACTTAAAATTAATAAATTTCAAAACTAAAAATTAAAACTGAGTCCAAAACAATATCCAGGTTTGAGAGTTAATAAACTAATAAACTATTATTTAAAACTTAAAAACAAATAAATAATACTATATATTAAAATCATATATTACAAAATCTAAAAACTTTTAATAATTAAAAACTTAAAAACTAGAAAAATTAAAACAAACCCTAGAGCAACTTCTGGTCTAAGAGCTAAAAAACTAAAAAACTAATATTAAAACTTAAAAACAAATATAAATAAAACTATATTAAAAAAATATAATATTTAAAAATTTAAAAATTAAAAAAATTAAAACTGGACCCTGGAGCAATGCCTGAGTTTGAAAGCTAGTTGCTTATTATTTGCAAATAATTGCATATTTGAAATTATCAGATTTTGTAAAGTAAATTAAACTATTATTTTTGAGTGATTATATGAGAGAACAATTTTACTATGAAGGAATAAAGAATTAAATTTTTTTTTAATTATTTAACCACGTAATTATTTATCCCGCACTAAGTTAATTTTAGGCCATAGTCAATATAAAAAAATTTAAAACAACAAAGCAATTTTTAGTTACTAAAAATTATAATTTTTATTCATCCTTGTTCAATTGAAATGTAGATATAAATAGTATACGAATATGTATATACATACATATATAATGAGAAATCTTAATTATCTCATAATTGTATAGTATTAGTGTTGCAGTTAGAATATGAACAGTTCAGACTATTTATACTCCAAAAGCTAACAATATAGTCACGATGCAAAAAAATTAATGATCTTGTTTATAGCTATTTTCATGAACTTGGCTAAAAATTTTTAGAAAATCAATTTTTTACAGCTGTTCTTATAAATTCTGAGACAATTTAAAATTTTGCTCATTACTTAAAATCTTTTTCATTCTGTAAATTATTTAACTCTTCAAAGACAGCAATATAACTTCCAGATAGCTAAATAATTTATAGAACTAACCCAAAAAAATTTTGATAAATTTTTAATTGTTTCAGAATTTGAAAGAACAGTTAAAAATTGTTTTGAATATAGACCTTTTATTATCTACCAAATTAAAAATATTTTTAAATAAGGTTTGATTTACTGAAATTTTCAAAGTTAAAAATTTTTAACGTTTAAGTAAGCAAGTTTATTTATAATATAAAATTGATAAAATAAGTGAACAATATTAGGAAAAATTATTGAATAAGCTTATATTAATAGACTTATATACTATTTACCATAAAATAAATAAATATTTTGATAATACTTATATATTATTAGGCAAAAATTATTGTATAATAGATATTTGGCTTAACCAGGTAATGATTAGCTAGCATATGCTATGAAGTAGCACGTGTCAGACAATCATTTGTCTAGTTGAGTCAAATGGCTATTGTATAACAATTTGCCAAATAATAATATTATTTGGTAATTTATGATCATGGTCTCAATCATCCCTCCATAAATATAAATTTAAATCTAAAAAAAAGATGGTAGATCAGTAAAAAATTACTTCTCTTTTAAAGTGAAAAAGCAAAAAAATTTTTTTAAGCTATTAAATTTTTAAAATATATTCATTTGAGTTTCTTGTTTTTTTTGCCCAATATTACCTTTGGGAGTTGAAGTTACAAGTTTAAGGCTGTGATCTCTAAATTTGGAGGTTACTAATTTGAAAAGTCTAAAATTTGAAGGTTGCTAATTTGAAGGTTGGCCGTTGGAATTTTAGTGTTTAAAGACTGTTTGTTATAATATTCTACTAGAGAACTATAAGGCTCTTCTATAAAGTGAAAAAAAATAGTTAAAGTTTTTTTTTAAAATACTAAAAACTGAATCTACTATAGCAAAAGTTAATAAGTCCAAGATAATTTTTCATCTTGACTTCTTCAGGTTGTATTATCTTATAAAAGAGCTCTCTAACATATTTTTTTAGAGGGTTAAGTATACAGAACTGTCAGCAAAGGAACTTGGTACAATCCAAGATAATACAAAAGTAAAAGCAACTTATGTGGCTATATATATGTGAATAAATCTATTAGAAGAATTCTGTTCTGATATCGGATTTGAAAATAAAATTGAAATGAATTTTAAGAAGATCCTAGAAAACCAATTGTCTAAGTTTATATGTGTGATAAAGCAACGTGATGGTAGTGAATATCATGCTAGTTCAGTAAGAAGTTGCCTGTGGCAATTTGGCATTAACTTAACTGGTACTCCATTATGAAGAAACTAGTTGATATACTAAATCTGAAGGTGTACTTTGATTTAAATTAAATCATTAATAGAAAACTGAAAAATCTTTTTGCAAAAGGCTTTGGTGAAAAATCAGGTTGATGGGTTAATAATAAATAAGGTTGAACAGATTCTTGACCACCCTATAATACAATGCAATAGTTTTGAAGAATTGTTATAGTGGATCTTTTTTTTTAATTCAACTTTATTAGCTTTACAAGAAGGTGAATATAAAACTCTTGAAATTAACAATTTCATCAAAAAGATCTGATATAGGAATTGATGTTAAATTGTATCATTTCAAAACTAACCAACAAGGGCTTAAAGATTATGATGCACAAGTGAAAATAATTAGCTTACCAAATATTAAAGATATAATTAATGATTATGAACTTTATTTTAGTAAATGCCTAGCAACAACAGTAACAAATTTTTATTTAAAGCCTTTTAGTATAAATTCAGGT